TAATAATCCAATAAAAGTTAGAAAAGACCTTAAAAGAGCTCTGTTATCTTCTGCTGATATTCATCCTTAAACGTGCAGCGTAGATTACCCTCTGCTTGTCGGAAAGCAAGAAAGCCTACTATAAAACAACTTTATACACGTTAAATGAAGCAAAGCGATTATTGTAGGCTAAGAAATATGACTCTTGGATCACAAATGACTGGTTACAGCCGAAGACGTCGCGGCAACATCGCGGACGAAAACGTCGTGGAGAAAACAACGCAAGGCAAAACATCGAAGGAGAAAACATCGCAAATAGAAAACATCGCAGTTCTAAAACATCGTGGTACAAAAAATCGTCGTCGAAAATAAATCAGTTCAAAAACTTCGCAGTTTAAAAGCATCGTCGTCGAAAATATCGTGGTAAAAAATAAAGTATATAGAAATCATCGCATGACGATAACATCGCAGACCTGCGTTTTTTCAGGCTTTAATAACTGTAAATGGATATCCCCATAATGATTTGTGAGCGCAAAGTGGAAAGAAGGATAATTTTTACTTTCATATTTTTTATTAACTAATAAACGTTTTGCTGAGAAAATAAGAAAAAAACTTAAGCATAGAAAATTAATGCAACTTATAGCACTTAATAGAATTTTAAACCGACATAGTTAACTAACAAAGGCCATTAATAAATCATTTTTTTTATAAAATTTTTACTGGTAATTTTTCATGAAAAGTATAATCTATAAGTTGTATTTAGTTTTCTATGCTTAAGTTTCCTTCTTACTTTTGAAGCAAAAAAAAAAAAAAAATTACTTAATAAAAAAATGTGAAAGTAAAAATTATCCTTCTTCACATCTTGCGCTCACAAATCATTATGGGAATATCCATTTACAATTATTAAAACCTGAAAAAAGCATCTCTACGATGTTATCGTTATGCGATGATTTGTAGACACTTTATTTTTTACCTCGATATTTTCAACAACGATGTTTTTAAACTGAGAAGTTTTCGAACCGCTTTATTTTAGACGACGATGTTTTGTTCAACAAATGTTTTAGAAATGCGATGTTTTCTCTTTGCGATGTTTTCTCCCACTATATTTTGTAGTACGACGTTTTTGCGTTGCGTTGTTTCCTCCGCGACGTTTTCATCCGCGATGTTTTTGCCGCGATGTTATCACCAAATGACTAGCTGAAGGTCATTTTCTGCGACGAGACTCATTTATTGATCATGGTTGTACATCTGATGTTGTTTGATGAAGCAAGGGTGAATCAATAAGAACTCAATATATCTCACAAACCATAAAATACCCTGATAACCAAATGTTTTGGGGTTTTCTCACTGCAAATGCACTGGAAATCTACCTTCTATTGACGGAAATGAATTCATGGAAGTAGATAGAAATTTTTAAATAAAGAATTGGGACGTTCTCGAAAACCTTTTCTAGGGCATTTCAACAAGACTTAGCTTCATGCCACAGTTCGAAATCTGTCAGAAGATTCATACTTGAGAATAAAATTATTGGGCTAGACTGGCCTGGAAATACACCGGACTTAAACCCGATCGAATTCTGGCACATTCTCAAGGAAAACCTTAGCAAAATAGATTGTACGAAAAAGGTGCATGATAAAAATACTATAAAAGTATGGGTCCATGATAAAAATGTAAACAATATATGCAAAAAAGACTAGTAGAGTCAATTATTCAATGCATTAGCGATGTCGTTTGTGTTAGACACATCTTCTATTAATTTTATTATTATTATTCGCTGTTATCTCCCGTTCTACTGGGCAGATTGACGAATTTCAGATTGCGTTTCCCATGCCTCGAAAGCGCGACTTAGGATATATATTAGATTTATATATAGCTTTGTTTTAATATAGGTATTTTGACAGAAAATGAGACTTTTCTGAAATAACATACCATTTTTTTCCATATTTCGATTCTACGACTCAAATTATGCCTAAATATTAAATTTTGTAAAATTTGGGGCGACATTTACGGAGAAATTCAAAAATTTAACTTGGCGCATTTTATTCAGTTTGAGCCAAGAATAATTCACTTGGCGAACTTCTTAATATATGATCACCTATTTTCCTTTCCCTTCCATTGTGCAGCAGCGGAAAACATTTCACATCATTCCTGTCTTTTTACATTGTGGAGGAGCGGGGAAAAAGTCACATTGTTTCTATTTTCAGATAATTTTAACGAAGTGCGTAAGCCATATTTTCGTTATTATCGCTTTCAACAAATATGCCAAATTTCAAAACGCACCAATATATAAATTCAGATATATCTTCGAAAATTTCGAATAAAAAGCTCTACTTTTTTGCAGGTATGCTTAGAAATACATCTACTTCAAGTCGACTGTAAAAATTTCATAGATTATAATTCAAAATATTTTTCAAAAAAATGTATAACAATTATTTAAAAATACAAATTTAAAAAATAAATCATAAAAATGGGTGAATTTTATTTGGAATGAACCTATATTTCGAACTGTGTAGGGAGGAATCAAATAAGTTTCGTAAAAAAAGAGATATTAATAAATACATTCCAAATTGAATTAACACTGAGGAGCTAAAATATTTAGAGCTAATTGTTTAAAAACTACTCGTGCGATTTTTACATACTACTCGTGGGAGTTTGGCATAATTTGAATCATAGGATCTAAATATGGAACAAAATTGGCATGTCAATTCAGAAAAAGTCCGATTTTGAGTAAATACCTATATTAGAACAACGCTATATATAAATCTAATACATATCCTAAGTCGCGCTTTCGGGACATAAAAAACGAATAAAAATTTCGTCAATCGGCCCAGTAGAACGAGAGCTATCGAACTGCTCCGCATTTTTTTGCGCAGTGTACATAAAAATTATAATAAAAAATCGCTTTGTCACAACTAATTTGCACACTATAGTGTTACGAAATGTACAGGCGGGATGAGACAGCTTCCCCGGAAAGCAGTTTTAAGGTTGTCATAAAATTGCAAGGGAAGGCAGGGTTCCCACATTTGGCGAGAAATCGCCCATTTGGCGACAAACATGGACGGATGGACAACCTTCTGGAACGAATTCTTACCGGTTTAGTCCAGAAATCGAGTTGACGTCGGTCGTGTTGACAGCCGGGCAGCGAGTGCCGAGTGGGTCGTCGAGTTCACCGAAGGAATCTCTTAGTGTATCGCGGTTAGCTGCGTCCGACACCGCAGGGATTGACTCGCTAGACGAGACACCATCTCGATACTGACTAACTCGCACTCGAGAGGCACACTTTACTCGCCCTCTCGACGAGGCACTCCATCGATACTAACTGACTGCGGACCAGCAGGGTTTATATAGCTTTCGGCTTGTGTTCAAGAACATTCTGGGCTAAACCGGTAAGAATTCGTTCCAGAAGGTTCTCCATCCGTCCATGATATATCGCCAATTTTGCCGCCAAAGGTTGGCAAATGGGCGATTTCTGGCCAAACGTGGCAACCCTGCCTTCCTATGCCATTTTATGGCAACCCTTAAACTGCTTTGCGGGGAAGCCATCTCACCGCGCCTGTACATTTCGTAACAATAGTATCAAATACTTTGACACGATCTAATTTTGGTGTTATTATCCCAACTATTTTTCTTTTTGTCTTCTCCGAAAAGAGTTTTACGATGATTTATGACAAACCCATCGTTCAGTATTCATCATATTTTTTTTAGACGGGGGCCACAAAATTGGAGTTGACCGTAAAAATTTCATCAACGTGTGGAAGTATTTTATGAATTCAGAGAAGTTAATAGAATGATATGTACCGTATCAAATTGCAGAATTAAGATTGTATATTGTTTTACCGGAGACTGAAAGATAAGTAACTCTGTATTAGATATAATTAAAAGACGATAGTTATTTTGACTGACTGTAATCATTTCCCGATTGGCCTTGGGTCATCGACATGGACATACCATTAAAACTGGCTTTAACTAATTGTAAGTATGTTTGATGTCTAAAAGTAGAGACAAGATCTATTTAGGAGCTGTAAAAGTGTGAACATAAAATACAGAAATTTGTTTCCCCTTTCATACACTGAAGTGACAAAAGTCATGGGATAGCCATATGGGACAAAAGTCATGGGATAGCCCGAGGGACATGCGGCGAAATTTGTCTTCCTTGGGCTATTGCCAGCAGAAGGACCGACTCGAATGCCTTTACTGACAGCACGACATCGCCTGCAGCGACTCTCGAGCATGGGCTCCTAAACGAGGAAAACGTGGGCTTGAGTCGGTTGGTTCCCTAAACGAATGGAAAAACAGTGTGTCAGTCAGGTTCATGATCACGGCATTTCAGGGTGGAATGATGTGATGGTCAGCGGTTCGAGGTTGGCCATCAGACTCCCATGTCACCCGGGCCACAATTGTTCGCGATTTGATTAGAATGGAGAATTTCAAAGCGATGATGGCCATGCCCGACATAATGATCGGCTTTTTTTCATGGCATCATTCGGTCAGTTCGTGCCCAAAAACCTGCACTGAATGCATACCCCTCAAACTGACTCACTTACCGCCTTCATGAACAGTTCGTTTATCAAACTGTGCTATTATTATATTTACTTTTTCGACAATACCAAATTTAGCAACGAGTTATGCGTTGATTTTTTTCGGAAGGGTAGGTCGCCAAATCCAGTAAAATCCAATTCTGATTAAGCCAGAATCATTTGCTAAAAAAAATGAAACCATCGCGTTTGCTTCTATTTAAATATCTGATGAGTCTGAAAATTTCAAATTATTTTTTTGAAAGAATTAAAATATTTTCATCTATTTTCTTCGTACGAGTTTGTACTTGACCGTATATTTTTAATTTTATTGCAACTATTTATTTCAATGGTATTAAGAAAATGAAATTACAGAGACACCACTACGACTAACATTTTAAACATCCCGGCGTTGAAATATAATTTAATTTGATATTAAAAAATCATTCCCAGAATACATCAAAGACACTTCTTTCTTTGAAATAAAAGAAACTGCAGAATACGCACTTGGTCTTTAATGAAAAGAGAAGCTGCGTGTGGACTGTTTCTGCAGGCATTCACTAAAATTTCCAGCACCTTGTTTTCCTTCATCCTTTTGAGGACTTCTTCGGAAAATGAAAGATTAGCCAGTGCTGCAGAGGATAGTAGAAACACTTCACTGCTTTCTGTCTTTGAAGCTAGATCTAAAGAAAAATAAAATAAAATACAGTCAAAAGTCTTTAAGCCGGACTCGTCGGGACTTCGGCGATTCCGGATTATCGGTTTTTCCGGATTATAGATCATCAATTTAAATGTGGTAAGATGGCATGCAGAAATTATAAAATTAAAAATATGAAACGGTAATTTATTAAATAAAGAGCAATTATGATCTAAAGGCTATCAAAATTTACAAAAAAAAACTTAATATTTATTTGTTTACTTTATTAAACATTTCTTTAAACGCGCGCATGCGTAAAGCATACATTACGCATAGTCGAAATTAGAAAATTGCAACCAGAAAACTATTTGATGCGTATTCGTGATATTTATAATGACGAGGAATTTGATTTAAATCATATCAAAGACGGAGTACATCGAGATGAAATACTACATTTAGTAAGATATAAGCAGAATAAAATAAAAACATCTGCCCTGAAGATAAAGATAGATTTAAATCATATAAAAGACGGAGTACATCGAGATGAAATACTACATTTAGTAAGGAATTTATAAGCAGAATAAAATAAAAACATCTGCCCTGAAGATAAAGATAGTGCTGACAGATCAACTTCCAGTTCATTGCGCGACGCGACATTCCCCCCCCCCCGCAGAGCAGCGTGAAATTGATAAACAGATTTCGGAATGGTTAAAGAAATAAAGGATATGCATTTATCCATTTTTTGCAGAAAATCTACTTTTTGTCTGATGGACATCGAAAGATGCTTTCGCTTTGTAGATCCTTTGGCAGCTCCAGAATCGGAAATTCCTTTGGACATGATCGAAAGTTCAAGCTTACTTTTATAAAATTGCTCTAACAGTCTGCAGAAAATAATAAGCCGGATCCAATTAGAACACAATCTGCAACATTAACTGAAATAGATAATTAGATAATTTTAGCTTAGCTTATACCGTCCGTTATACATTAAACGCGCATGCGTAAAGGTATTATGCGCATGCGTAAAAGCATTGTGCGTTTACGCATGCACAGAAAGTTTCTAGCTTTGAGGTCCGGATTATAGATCATTCCGGATTATGGACGTCCGGATTAAAGACTTTTGACTGTATATGTATATATAGTCATAGCGCAAATCGGTTGTTGTTAACTATAGTACATTGCCATGTGCTGGCCTTTAATAGCATTTTTGGAATTGATGTAATAGGGCCTGTTTTTAAAGCAGAAATCTGTTAGGCAAACATTTTACCGTTTCACACTGTGAAAGTTACATGAAAATGCTGCAAAAATGTTTGTCGTTTCAAATTATGTTAAGCCTAGTCTTCTAAACAATTAATTAGGGTAGAATTGTGGCTTTCGTGGTTCCTGTAAAATTTTACAATGAAGATGAGAATCTCGTGGTCTTGATATTAATCTCCACGAAGCACAGTATTCCTAATAAATCAGGAAGCTTTCAGAATACTTCTTAGAATTCGTTTTGCACTTTCTGGAGTGGAAGTCTGTTAGTTCTAGCAGTGGCTGCCCGTGCAAGCGAAGCATACGGTAACTGAACACTATAGTTTGAATCTTTTTAAAATTTGACTTAAAGACTCTTCAATCTGTACGTTTTGTAACTCTGTACAGTCCATGGATAAAGAGCATACTGACGAATGTATTGCACTATTTTCTTTTAATTTTATTGTTCTTAAGTATTGGAAAGCAAGATCAATCTTAGCGGCCAAATGTCTGGCATTTGTATAATTAAACTGCTACAATAGAGAATTAAAATTATCTAGGCACACACGACGTAGAATTCAAGATTTTTCAGATTACTTGGTTAAAGCTGGATTTTTTTTGTATTTTAATATTTAGTTTCTACCCACAGATTACTGAAAATACAGTAAACCCTCTCTAAGACGATTTTAACATAAAATAAAAATATAAAAATAAATCCAGATTTCACTCAAACAAAAACAACAACAATCCCCCCCCAAAAAAAAACACTTTTATTCATTTGGAAAAATATTTTATCTAATAAATCTAAATAAAAAAAAACTGTGTAATAAATGCAGTCTTGCTACAAATATTTTGTAAACTTTGAGAGCTGATATCCCCCTTTTCTTTGCCGTGAAAACATAGCATACTGCGTATCTGATTTCCAAGGAAATTTGTTCGAAATTGAAAAATACTGGTTTATACTATATACTATATACATATATATAATTCATTCAGTAATTTTAAAAATGATACGACCAAAATTATGCACATTCATCTCCAGATTTTCCGAAAGTCTTTGAAAAGAGGGGGGAGGGAACACAGGAAGCAGAAGTAACATATATTATAATTAATAGAAAAGTACTATTAGCAAGTTACCTGAATTTTAAGAGGAATTTAATATTAAGTTTATTTGGCTATGTAAATTAAATGAATATTCAAAATAAGAAGAACACACTGCAAGTAACATGAGATCAAACATAATTAGAAATGAGGAAACTAAATTATAAATGGAACTACAGAATAATATTTACAAAAACTTTGAACAGTATCATATTGGTCCCACTAGCGTTAAGAAGTCGAATAGAACTACTGTTTTTTTGGGGTCGGGAGGGGGGTAGCAATTTTTCTATCTTTCCGCAATAAACAAACTTACCAAAACAGGACCTTGTTAATCTACAACTCAGTTTGTCCGCCCCAGGGTAATTGGAAGTTGATTTTACTTCTATTCAGTTATTGTTATGAAAAAAAAAAAAAATTGCTAGAAACTTACTTGCGATGGACTTGACAAGCTTGTCGGCATTTTGGGTGATGCTGCGAAGAACGTAACTACTTCCATCTGTCCAAGGAGCCGTGATCTGCGCCACGAGGCCTGCAGCTTCACTCCGAGCCCCTTCCGCAGACTTCTCGTCGCATAAGACATCACACACACAGTCCACGCCTCCACTCTGTAAGAAAAGTTCCAAAATGTAACAAGCGCACGTAGAAGTACAGAGGCTGTTCACACATTTTTTAGACGATGTACTATATTGTATTCACAAAACTAAATTACATAAAATTCTTGTATTTTAAATGTTCTATTTGACATCCCTTATTCTGAACTATCTTTCGACACCGCAATTTCCAGGATAATAATGCCTTTTGAAGTGGCAGAAGGGTATTCTATCCCATTCCTTACGAACAGCTTTCCAGAGTCCTGTTGGGGTTTTGGGACAACGTTTGGATAATGCAGTTTTTTAAAAGTCCGAAAGCACAAAAATCCATAGGTGACACATCGGGAGATTTAGTAGGGATATCAGTGAAGGGTATGGCCTTGATACCAGTTTTTCGTTCCATTTCTTTTAGGAAATTTACAGTAGATTTTGATGTGTGACTGCTAGCTTTGTCCTGATGGAGTCTCACAAATGGATGGCACTGTGGGTAAACCGATGGTATTTCATTCAGAAAAATTGGCGATAAAATATATTCCTGATAGTATTTGGAGTTAATCTTGGCTTTTTTTTTTGCACTCTCTTTATTTTTAACTTGCCATTATAAGAAAAACCAGCAACAATCATGAATCCCTTAGAAAAACTTTCTTTCGATTCTTTGAACCACGTACTTAAATTTTTTTCTCCTCTTTTATGATAATAAATGGCTCTTTTTTTTGTTACAATCATTTAAATACACCCATGCTTCATCTATTGTGACAATTGTTTTCCACTTTTCTTTGGATAAGTGTTTCTCATATAGAATTCTGCAGCGTGTCCTGTGTTGAGCGATATTCTTTGGAAGAAGACGATGCACATTGCGTTTTTTCGCTTTCTTAAGATTTAAATTAATGTTTATCATTTTGTTTACAGTTGACACCGAGCATTTTAATGATTTTGTAACTGTCCTTTGACTAGAGGAATTTTCTTTAAACATTAAACAACGTACGTTTGCAATAATCGAAGATGTCCGTTTTTTCCTTGGATACTTGTTCGGAATTTTTGTGCCACTTCAAGCGTCAATTTGATGTTTTTTTTTTTCTTTCTTGTTGATGATATTACCTATCGACGCTTTAGATATCACAAAACCATGACTCTCACATCGTTTTTGGGTAACGGAGTATGCATATTTTCTTCGGAAAGAGTGTAAATGTAGCCTTCAAACGACTGCTTTGTTAAATTCGCCATTTTGAATAAACAAAACTTTCAAGCCACAGACGATAAATTTGACTTTTAAAAACATAGTGAAATTGCAATTACTTCTTTTGCAGCAAACGAGTTTTTATTACCGCTTACTAAAATCGTCTAAAAAATGTGCGAACAGCCTCTGTATACAACATGTCATAAAATACTATTTATTTTCTTTGAACAGAAATGCTAATAAGAGCAATATGAACTTTTTTTGGTGTCAACATACGTTAACATTACACATGTTCAAAATGATCAGCATTAGCGGCAATACATAGCCAGCAATGTTGTATCAACAAACAATGCTTCTGATTCTCACAGGAAGGAAAGCGTAAATAGTCCGAGTTGCATGTCTCGTATCATCTAAAGTCCGTGATTTTTCTGTTCGATTTCCTGAAAGTCTACAACACGTCTCTACAGCTCCTTCAATCAATGTTGCTTTTTTCCTCTGCCGTATCGTCATTTCTTCACATCACACACAATTCTTTCTGCCTCAAATTTGTCACACAATCTTGCGGTCATTACACTATAAATTTCTATACTCTATTGCCTCTGCACTTTACACATATTCTCAGTTTTCCAATAACGATTTAAAATCCAGTTCCGTTGCACGAAAAAAATCGATATTGGCTCCTGCCATTTTGTGTGTATCAGTGCCAGCCAACTGCAGGACGGGAAATAAGATAAATGTTTACATTCATGCATGCATACTCAACGTAGTTTCAAATACATACACAACTTCAGTACAATACAGCTTCAAATACAAAATGTCCAATCAAATTATATTCAACACTTTTCTTTGTTATTAGGGTTCAAAAAACGTTGATATTACAGCTTCAAATACAAAATGTCCAAACAAATTTCGTTCAACAGATTTCTTTATTATTAATGGTAAAAAATTTAGATATTATTTTCGGACGCACTGTATCTGTTTTATGTTTGTTCGTCTACAATTATTAAGCCCTAAATTTTATTTTACCACAACTTTGCACTGAAGACAAGAAAGAGTTCAACTACACCGGCTATTCTCTCATAATTTAATTATTAATTTTTATTTATTGTATTTTCGTAGCAAAATTTAATAATTGTATCGTTAAATTTCGTGCAGAAAATAATAATTAAAGCAGGTAAATTGAAATAAATATAATATTGAACTTACTGATATAATGTCTGGAGGATTAATATATTAAAATAATATTGAACTTACTGATATAATGTCTGGAGGATTAATATATTAAAATAATATTAACCTTACTCAACTATCGCGCTCGGTAACTTCTCAGTAAAGACTGGAATTTTTCCAAGTCTAGCTCGAATTATCATTACCTTATGCATGTATAGCTTGCCAGTTTGGTTAAATTTCTTAATTTTGGTCACATACTATTTTTTCTATATTAAATCACCAACGTCAAGAGATTACATTAAACACCGAAAATTTTATCGTTTATTGGAAGTTCAGCAGATTTATTGGTTAATTACGTCGAAGAAGTCGAAGGCTATCAGAAGTGCTTTCTTTGTAGAGGATGTTCTAAGGTAAATTGGCTGATATTTCTATTTCAAAAAACCATGAAAAACTCGAACAGTCAGCAGTTCAGCAACTAAAAACTGAACAAGGATCCAGTGTTTCGCGGGTCTAGCCTCTTATGGATCTAAACTGAATAAGTATAAAATGCTTGAGGGATTAGCTGTTTTGACCATTAATTAATTTTGAAAAATACACAAAGGTATGTAGTTCATCTGCATGGTGGCCAAAGTAACCTGGTTCACATTTATGGAGGATAGTGAAAGTGATTCTTGTATGTATTTCTTCTCCTATAGCTAAAAATATCCAATGCTTTTAGGAATCATGTTTCGTTCGTCAAATAATAGCCCTTACCTAATTTTGCTCGAATTGTTTAAATTGCTTATGTCCGAGTAGTAGCATCAATCATTCAGATCATTTGCAGTTATGATATTTATTTTAAGTTTTAATAGTAGTTAAGCTTAACTTAAACACTCTCCTACTTTGATTCACGTCACATATATTATTATCTCATATCAGAAGGTTATGCAAATTAAAGCACATATGACAGTTTACAAGCTAGCGAAGGTTAACTCGTGCTTGAGGGAAAAACCGCCTTACTATTCGTAACTGTTAACGCCGCTCCAGCCGTCTGCGTTGGGAATGGTTTAGTTTTGGTCGGAAGCCACATCGATTTCCATTGCCGTCTGAGGCTGATAAGTACCCTTGTGGGGATTAGCTATGAATAAAAATAGGCATAATCTTTCAGAAGATTTGGTTTTGATACTGCATTTGACTCAAGATAAGTAATTGTTAACAATTACTGTCAGTAAGGAATGGATCTTTAAGTGTGTAGACTGTCGCCTTAGTTGCAACCCACTAGGAGAGCACGATAAAGCTTCTTGAAGTTTAATCTGTGTTTGTTTAAGTAAATCACCGATTGTGGTCAAGAAGCTAGATACACCGACATTTAGGAAGTCAGATGTAATGAAGAACTGCTAGGTGAAGGTACTTTTAAGAATAGTTTAAGTATTAGAATTGCACAATAAATAAACAATATGTATATATAATGCATGAAGAAGCAATAGAGGAAGAAAAGGGAATAAGATTTTTACCTCTTCAAAATTCCTTATAGAGGCAGGCACACAACTCAGCACAGTGAGAGCTCTCAAGGCACACGGATGCATTTCTTTCCATTTGGTCTCCACACAAATAATCAGCAAGCATCGGACAGCTCCAAGCTAAAATACAGAACTAATTTTCACTTATAAATTCGAATATGGGTTTACTATTAAAAAACAGAACTGGTTTTTATACTGCCTGGAAATATTTTTTCCTTTTAGATATAAATCTTATTAAGCTTGGTATAAACTCAAGATAGATGTTCAGGTGTTTTTCGCAAGATTCAGCCATTTGCAAGGGGTATATTTTATATGTATCATCTAAAACAGAGGAAATACAATAAAATGTCTCTAAGACGGCTACCCGCTGTTCTATATGTTTCCGTCTGCCAGGGCAGTTAACTATCTAAGAAATACGACGCTTAATACCAGTGTTTCTTTATGTTTTCAGAAATATTAGTTGTTGTGAAAGCGATGATGGTCGCTACAAGAGGATTCACTGTAGTTATTGATCCACAGTGAAACTTCAGTTTATGAACTTAATTCGTTTCTAATGACTATTCTTCATACTAAATGTTTATAAAACAAAACAGTTTTCCCCGTAATTAATAAAAAAAAAGGATTAATTCATTCCTGGACTCTAGATGATTGCCTATTCAAACTTTACAGTAGTACTTCGCTCAAAAGTCCCTAACCCCTAAACCGATAAAAAAATCAAAAATTTCATTTAATTTTATTGTACCTATAAAAAGTAGAATGTACGAAGAAAATTGCTTAAGTGAAAAATGGCGAGCAAGATGCTATTGTTTGGATGCGAAATTTCCTTTCATAAAAACATCAGATATTTTAAAGGCGCATCTTCTAGCGCCACTCGACTCTGCTTGAGACCCACTAGGCTTTTGTTTCATTCAGATGTTTCCAATGTGAATTTTTGTTGCTTACATTTTAAAATATTTCTAAATTGAGATATGGCATTATTACTGAAAATATTTATGCTGTACTGCTTTATTAGGCTGTTTCTGTTAGATGAAAACTTTGCATCTTGTCCTATTTTGCGCAAATTTCACAGATCAGATAATTAGGATCCTTTCCTTTTTGTCTTATGAAGATATTTCTTCCACGATTGCTTTTGTTGAGTTCATTTTTATGATTCTCTATAATGTCTTCTAGTCTTTGTTATTAACTTCTCAGACCATGGGTTTTTTGTAGAAACACAACAAAACACTACAAAACAAAAAACGACCTAAGTGTCAGTAAGCGCGAAGTCTCTGCCCGTAACCCAAATGGTCATAATTTCTTCCAGGGCGAAGTCACTTGCTGCAGCTATATTAATAAGAGTCAAGCAATGGAAGATACTAAAATTTTTCCAGAAGGTTCTGAGTATTAAACGTGATGTAAGTTGTAAGGATCTTAAGTTTTACTAACGTTTATTTTATTTTAAATCTTTACTATCACTTCTTATTTTCTACTTCCGGCCAGAATTAAAAGCTTTAACTTATTTATGCAAATTTGTCTGGCGAACGCCAAGTACTTAAGTTGTGGCTTTTTGCCAAGCAAGAGAGAGGAAGGAGTTAGTTCGAAGCAGGCGCTTGCCTTAGCAGTTTTACTCGGTTGCTGGTTGCCTTCCAAGGCCAGAGGTTTAATCCTCTTGATAATTTTAAACGTATTGTAGTGTTTAACAGTTCTCTGTACTACATACGGCTTCCTGTTAATATACGGCCAATCTTCCACGTTAGGCACTTGTTTATTATTCCAAAGTTAGTTTAGTTAGAGTTTAGTTAATATTTTTATATTCTTACGTTTCAGACCACAAGTGGTTGGTCTCTGTATTCCGAAGTCCGGAAGAATTATTGTAAAGAGTGGAAAAAATAAAGGGTTTCGTATACCCTTCCTGTGTACCTTGTCTACTTCCCCATTTATTGAACATAGCTTTAGTAAGCTCCCTGTTCCGAGTCAGGTTCTTGAATGTTCCCCAAGCAAGTAAGGCGGAACACTGAACCTGATAAAGTTACCTCAAAACACCTTTGTAATGTTATTATAACGATAAGCAGTTTAACACATGTTGCCGATTTAAATATTCGTAAATCCAGTCAGCTTTCGTCATCCGAGGCATTTACGTTCAAATAAATTGTTCGTGAACCGAATCATTCGTGAAGTGAGACGTTCATAATCTGAGGTTCGACTGTACTTCAATTAATAAAGAGAATTATATATAAGGTCCACGAAACCTTTCGTCATGACTATTTCTATGAGAAGACATACAATTTTGAAACTGGCTAAGCGTTTTTGAGAACTTAAATAAACATCTTTAAGTGTGTGTGTGTGATTATGGCAAAGCCTCGAGGGCTATCTGCCTAAGAGGAGGGATGCCTTCGTGGAGGACTTTCTAAGGGAAACTGGCTCGTATACACGTTACACACGGAAAACCACGAAAACGCCCATGCAGCCAGCCCGTTCGCGGGTTCGAACCTCGGACCGAACTACCAGTGTTCAGCGACTTTACCGCTCGGCCGCTGGTGGGCCCTTAAACATCTTTAAGAGGATCATTTCCACGAAAGACGAAATCCCCCTGAAACCATAGGTAGTTGTCTAAAAGAGTGTTTACAGTATTTAAAAATTTTCCTTATTTAATTCTTCAAAAGTCTGAAGATATAGCATTACTTTAGATTATGTTTCAAAGGTCTGTATTTCAATTAAGATTTAGTTTTAATAAAAGAAATTATATTAACATTGAGAAGAAAAAAATAACTTAACAATTTCAAAATAGTTAAAACTTGCAAGAAAAAAAATATTCTACTTACTTTATATCATTCAGGAAAACAAGGTCGTCAAGCCTGGAGTCAAATACATATTGAAAAAAATGACCAATTTATTACTTTATTTTAGCCGTAATTAGAGAAGATATATGTAGTGACGTACCATCACGTATAAATGTCACAAAAATCTATCGCTTACTTTCCTTCAGATTAGGATTAGGATTTCTTAGACTACGGCAAAGCACACTAGGGTTGTCTGCCTAAAGCGAGGAATACTTTTAAATGATAAATGACTCGTAATCACATTACATATTATAGGTTCTTAACTGTCTAATACTAACTAAAATCTCCTTCAGACCCCATCTGATTGCTAAGCGAGTTATCGCTTCGTCTGTGTAAGTATGAGAAAGTCTTACGAAGTTTTTAAATAAACCTCTTTTTTTATTTAAATTTAACAAAAGGCACAACTTGTGCTTTATGCACAAGTTTTTTTGAATTTTTTGCACAAATTTGAACCTGATTTGATTTTATATCAAACGCCACCATACGGGTACTAAACAGAAAACTGAAAATACAATCTGAAATGGATTCGTAGCCTTGTAGAGACATTAGGATTTTTTGGAAGCTGGAGAAATGAAAAATTAGCAACCGCCTTCGCCGGGAATCGAACCATGGACCTCTGGAATACCGGCCCAGCGTGCAGAACCACTACACCAAAAAGGCACGCTAGGAAAGTTGGAGAAATTACCTTATATTACTCACCTTTTTAAAGACGACTGGGAGTTTTCAGGGACCCATCGCCAAATCCTGGGTGTGAGAAACCTCATCCAAACCCCTTTAGTTCGGGCGCCACTGTAAGAGACATTCGGATTTTTTTGAACGCTGGAGAGATGCAAAATAGCAACTCCTTCGCGGGGAAATCGAACCATGAACCTCTGGAATACCGGCCCAGCGTGCAGAACCACTACACCACGAAGGCACACTAGGAAAGTGGGAGAAATACCTTATAGCCTTATACTACATAATTTTTCTTAAGCTGGCTCGAACTTTAATGGCGAAATTGAACTTCGGCTAGCAAATTGCTATTGTCGGGATATTAACAGGCAGAGCTAGGCGATAGAAAGTGAAGCTACGAGAGTCGCTGCCAAAAATTCTCTCATTAAAACATTCAAAAACCTTGCCTTAAATACACATAAATTATCTTAGTGAGCGCTAACGAAGGAAGAAGCTATAGCATAGAATCAAATCATAAAAGTGGGTTAACATAAAAATATCTTGTAACTTTGGGGCCTTTTTGAGGGGATTTTTGAGCTGATTCGAACTATCAGTGTTTAATAATCTTATCCACTCGGCAATTGGTGGACTCTCAGATTAGGAATAATATAGTTTCGTAACAGGCCAACATAATGAGCTTTTCTCAGAAACAGTTAAAACTCAAAGTCACGTGTTTAAGATACCAGGACACAATGCCGTCTGGTGTATAACTGCAGTTTAAAAAAATGCTTAATACAAATTCTTAACCTCCTTCAGATGTGAAAATATAACGCCGATATAAAACTTTATCCGCAAAGTTTAGGGATTGCTATTTACTAAAGTTCGCTATTTTGTATTCATTTATTTATGATCAGTTCAGAGACTAAGACACTGGAATTTAAATTCCACTAAAGTTATATAAATAGATACTGACCTTTGCCATGAGTTCGCAAAAGACAGGATTTAACCTTCCAAGCAGTATGAGAGCAAAGACAGACCGTTTCAGACTGTTCATATTTGTAGACTTTTCAACGCAATCCACGATTACCTGTTGAAAGACAAATAAAATAAAATAAATAATTTAGCAGAAACAACTAAACCACTTTTTATATACATGTTGGCCATTTGTTATTAAAGGAAAATCAAGATGCAGGGAGAAGCAATTGATTTTTCCTCTTCAAGAGTAGGCCACTGAAGAACTGAGAGAAAAAAGTTGAAAGACAAGAGAAGAGAGATCAAAACTATCTTTAGTGCACATAAATAACTTACGACAGAAAGGCGAAATGATTACTATTAGAATTTAAACAAATTTGATGCAGTACCTGTAGATGTCTAAGAAGAAGCTGCTGCAGTATAGTCTGAACAGACTGCTGAAGTACTTCCAATTCAGTTTCCATTTTCGATTTCCACTCTTGCCCTTTTTCTCCTCTGAAAATATTATGTCAGTTTTAAATACCATTGTTGGCAATGTTGTTTCAAATTGATTAAAAAAAAAAAAAACGAGAATTCTATTTGAATGAATATATTTGTATTATACTGAAATGCAGAAAAATTGAATTTTCTGATTTAACTTCATACGTAGAGTTAATAAATCGGCACTTTTACTGCAAAAATTCTCACTCATAACCTAAATTAATCTAAATTAAATTAAAATTACTAGTGCTTGTTGGAAATCCCCTTCAGCTTCTAATTTCATTAATGGGAAATATAACGAAAATGCTCATGAATTACATTATGAAATTTTAATTTGTAACTGGACTCATTTAAATCATTGTACATTTTCCCTTTTTTAAGTAACTGTTTCAGACGGCTGGTTCGCACAAGCGTCTAGTCTAAAATATAATCTGAAAAATCAGATTGCAGAATAGATAATTCTAATCTGAAGAATGAATCTGTAGATCGTACAGATCTAATAGATATTTCTGAAAGTCTAGTCAATATTTAAAGGAGTTGAAGAGACATCAGGCCCAGTAGCGTAGTGGCTAGCGCGTTGCGCAGCAACACCACAGGTCCAGGGTTCGATCATTTCCGGGTTGGGAAAGGTTGACTCAGCCTTTCGTCCCTTGAGTGGGTCGATAAAATGAGTACCAAGTTCGCTTGGGGACTAAACACAGGGTGTCCTGCGACAAACTGACCACTTGTCCAGGGCATATGCTCATGCACCCCGAACCCACGGTCAGGAAGCAGATATCGGAACACTGTAGGCCATGGCCCACTACTGAGTTTAGTTAACTAAACTCAACTGAGTTTAGTTAAGAAAGATACCTTTCAGACCAATATCAAATGCAGTATGCCCATTAAAATTGCTGCATCAAAAAAGAAGCAAAACGCAGAATCTTATTCATTATACCTACACAGTATAATAGAACACGTACAGAAAAAGCTTTCACCTCTGGCAGCAACAGCAGCTGTTATCCGGTTATGTATCTTGACGAACTCGGCTTATATGACAGATACGGATACATCACTCAAGCTTCAGCTTCAACTCTGTGCCAGAGTTTATCATTCGTAGTGGTGGCATGTTTTTCAGCAACCCAGATGTTCTCAACGAAATAGAGATCTGGAGAATATGCTGGTCAGGGAACAGTCGAACTCTTTCTGCATCGAGAAAGGCATACAATCGGGCATTATCTAAGATGACGTCACACAGGCGTCGAAGACAAGACATAGCCACTGGCCTCAACACAACAGAAATGCACCGGCCGCTGTCCACACTATCGGTTATGCGAACAAGAGGTGGCCGGAATATGGACTCATTGGCATACCACACCATTGGAGGTGCTTAGCCCCTATGACGATGACGAAAGCAAAGTGGCAAATTTTGTTCCCCTCGGTGTCTCTACATTCAGATCCGTTCATCACGATGCTATATGCAGAACGATCGACGATTTAGTCCGTTTTGCTGCAGATGTCGTCGTTCTGCACATGAGCCAAGTTCCTGACTCAGAGTACGTGAAGTGGCTGTACGATACCGCGACTGCGAGAAGACAATATATCTGCCCTGTTAGGCGTTAGTGGCCTACGGCCGCTGAGATCTTGCATGGCGTTCAATATGGCCTTGTTAAACCCATAGAGTCCATCTAGCCTGACGGTCATAGATCTTGACCAACACGAGCAGCAATGTTGCGAAACGCTATACCGTAGCCCCACAAGTCATGATCCTGCCACGGTTCAATTCCGACACGTGCTCGTAAAAATTTCTTCTTAAACAAGGCATAATACGACTTTTACACAAACAGCCAAAATTCAAGTGCGATTTCTAAATTGAAGACCCACAGTACTTTCTTCTTATTTGGGCAAAATATAGATAACATTACTCATATCTGCTTTGTGAACATGTGCTGAAATACTAATCATTGGCATATCCTATCATATTTTATCTTTCATGTAAATTTGATGTTTATTGCATGCTAGTTTTATATACTTTTAGGAACTCGACAAAAGAAAATTATTCTAATATTATTCTAATTATACAAAAAATTGCAGTTATCGATAGTAGTTGACAAAGATTGCTGACTTAGACCATTTTTACCCGATTAAAAATTAGGTTAAATCGTCGATTTTTAGGATTGTATGTAAATAGAATTTAGTTAGAAATGAAATTTCAAAATTTAGAATCTTTAAAAACAAAATGTCGTAATTCATTTTTCTATATTATTATATATATATATTTTTTTTCTTGACACAGAACATATCATTTAGAAAGTTCCATTCGAAAATTTACGTTGCGAAGCTTTTAGTAACATTTGCATCTAGTACTCAAACCCTTAATTATAATTATACGATCAGAAATTTTGATAACATTTCTTTCATTGATATTTATTTCTTAAGCAGTCCTATAAAAAACTTAAATATGATAACGTTTCTCAAGTGTAACACACAAGTAAAATTTTCGTAATGTGAAATTTTATCTTTTTCTATGGATCTCTGAGTAGTTATTCAAGCGGCAGTCGCGTATACATTTCGAAGCACTTATAAGATTTCTTCTATTTTTTATTCATAATTTTCTATTATACATAAAAATTAACGCATACAAAGATTTTTATTATCTATATCTACAGTCAACTTCGATTTACTGGAGCAATACTAGAGACGTCGTTAGCAATTACCTCAAAACCATGGTTAATGCGAAGGCAATTAGAAAACAAAGGAAAGAAAAATAATAATTCTTATAATTAACAGAAAAATATTATTAACAATTTATATATATTTTCAAACACTTTAATCAGGAAAATAATTTGGTTATGCAAATTAAATCAGTATCCAAAACAATTCGTACGTTCTGAATTACGTGCAGTTAAATTATGCAATTAGCGAATAAAAGCAACTCTTAAATATTGTTTCATCATCATCTGTCATTGCTGTTATCCCACAAATTTTACTTTTAGTATTTTTCAGACAATTTTGTTTTTACGCTGATGGTTTGTGACAGTAATTTTCTATTGTTCTGCATTATACAGGCTCGATTAATCCGTATCCGACAAACCGAAAGCTAATTATAGTACTCATATTCTCTAAAATCTTCAGTAGTATTTTAAAACAATAAAATGGTGAAATATCTTACTTGCTGACTGTTTCCAAAAGTTCTGCGCAAGTTGTTTTGATTCTTGCTTCAACCTGGAAATAATCTTATTTGAAATAATAATTTCAGGATTAAAACTGAACAAGAACAGAGATGGTGTTCTATAAAATTTAATCCTTTTATAAAGATTTGAAATACATTTAACTCTATACATATAAGTAATACTATTATACCTCATAATATTTCAACCTAAGTGGCTGAAAAACTGATTACGCAGTTTCAAATAAATTATTATTCATTATAAAATTCGACTACAAACTCGACCATTAGTGGAAATAAATTTCATAAACGAAATTATTCTCGCGAGTTTTGCACCTTTTGTAATGGAGATTGAATATTTTTGTTTAGGATAGATAATAAAATGTCTTTTTAATTACTTAGTAGTTAATTTTAAGCGAGTATTTTATTTAATTTAAATGTAACAGTGCCGTTATGCTAATAATAAATTGAAGTTTTAACTTAGGCAATTAAATAACCTTTATATAGATAGCATAGAATTTTAATAATACGCTGTCATTTCGAGGGAAGTTAGGCACAGATTCCTCTTTTTCAAGAGCAAAATGATTTTGTACTAACGGAGTGCCACTGTTGAGGAAATTTTCTGTCTTTTTACTTCCTTGTACGAAGTAAAGGAGGTATTGTAATCACGAAAAATTTCAGATGTCATATTTCTATGAAAATATCCATTTTGACCGCTATCGAATGCAAATTAACGTTTTTGCGTGATATCTATACGTAAGGACAAACAAAGGAATCATTTTCCGAAAAGGGATTTAAAATGGATTCAGAAGAGATTTTTTTCGTGACGTTTGTACGTTCGTATGTATGTACCTCGCATAACTCAAAAACAAGTAGCCTCAGAACTTTTAAATTTTATATATAGGACTACTACAACATGTAATTGTGCACCTTTCTTTTTGGTTTAAATCGGCCGCTCCAAATGTGTATAAGCTATAGGATGATTTGGGGAACATTTTAAGCCTACAGGCCTGGTTCTTGTGGGATTACGAAGCAATTAGAATCTGTTGTCGTAATTAGGATCTGTAAATTATTTCAATAGATGTTCCAGGAGTTATCGAGAGTCTTTGTCCGTTTGTTCACTGATCCACTATATAAAAAACTTTTGATGTGGGTTCTATATGAACCGAACTGTACGTTCTTCAAGATTATAAATATTGTTACGTTTTTCCTATTCTGCTTTTGACACCAGTTGTTGCGTTTTCAACATTCCTTCACGTTCGTACGGAGTTCGTAGATTTGGAGTGAATAACATCGACACTGGATGAAGTATCGAAACGCACTTTATTTATCAATATTAATCAGGACAGCTCCAAAACACTTTTACAGTCGTCGACGATCTACTATAAACACGCTGGAACAATCAGCGACACAGTCTTCATCTTTCAGGCAATACGGTGGAGAACAGCTTCCTGCAAAGAACCCCGGACTTGCTGTTCGGAGTCAGCTCCCGACTCTGCCTGGTCCGTTCTCCGGAACTCCACGTATTCTCGAGACCCCACGCTACAAACTCGCGATGCACTCGAGAACACACAAGCAAACAGCTCCCGGTCAGTCGTTCCGGAACACCTCTTTCACGGTTCACTAAAGATCCTTTGGTGCACTCGCTACCCAGTCGCCCACTCGCTGGGCGGCTTTCAACTCGATCGACTCGCAGGGATTTGACCGCTAACGAGGCACAAACCACTCTTGATAAGAGACCCAACTTCCTGACTGAGACCAGACGGTTTATATAGCTTTCAGCTTGTGTTGGGACATTCTGGACTAAAACCGGTAAAAAATTCGTTCCAGAAGGTTGCTTCCAACCGTCCTTGGTATATCGGCCAATTTGTCGCCAATGGACATTTCTCGTCAAATATAGCAACTCTGCCTTCCCTTGCCATTTTATGGCAACCCTAAAACTGCTTTGCGGGGAAGCTATCTCACCGCGCCTGTACATTTCGTAACAATATTAAGTAACTGATATTTAATGTTCATTTTCAACAGCCACATTATTATTGGGTGTTATAATATTAAAAGGTTTAACACTTTTGCTTGCTGTATCTACAGTAACAATGGCAGAAAATAATTTAATAACAGAAAATGATAAGAAGAATGATTAAATATGGGATGCAGCAAACCAAATAATTAGCAACTCAGTAAGTAACTTGCACGGTTTGATAAAAGCCTACGCCTAGGCGATAATCAGAGATTAAAGTAGCCAAAATTAAATCAAGAAGCCTCAGAAAGAATTGTGTGCGTTTTCATAATCCTGCTTAAAACAAGGAGATTATGTCGTTGGGGACTCTTGAAAGAACATTGTGTTTTAAAGGTTCATGATTTTTCTAAGGGCCCTAATTATATAAGCGGAAAAATTTCTTTTTTCTAACCTGAGAAATTTGTTTTGTATTGGCTGTCATTTTCAGCAGTTCCACCACTGAAGAACAAAACTGGGCAACTTTCAAAGAGAAAGGTGTGACGGACAGTTTCGTCATTTTCAGCGATTCCAGCATCTCTTCTATGTGTTTCTTTACTGCACTTCCTGCTTCCCATATTCTTTCGGCAGACTCTGCAGGAAGAAAATAAAAATTTATTTCAATAGATGTTACTTTTCTAAATCAGACATTTTTTACATTTTGATTAATAATTATCAGACACTACTGAATTTATTAATGTGTTAGTTTTCTGTATTTACTCTCTTGACAAAATGTTAAGTAATAAATGAAAGAATGAGAACGAACTTGTGAGGTTTATCTATTTATTTTTAACTAATAGTTTGTAGAGTTCCTCACTTTGTAATTCTAAGTTACTTTTGGAAGTGAAGAATCTTAAGAACTGATAAGCGAATAATAGCTTGAGTTCGTGTGACAGGAAACAACAAGATAGAAGGTTAAAATACCCATATTATCCAAACTAAAGTTAACAAAACTCCGTCTTGGAGTGTACAATAAAGCCGAACACTTGGGCTTTGACTTAAGAGACTAAGAACTAATCTAAACTAAAGAGGTTAGGGCGATATCAGATTCTAACGAGTTGGCTCTAACGTTAATATCTGCGAAGCTATCAAGGGCCTAATACGGCCGAGCGAATAGCTTGATGAGTAGCCTAAAAGCGGGCGAGCCGACAGAACCTGGCATTCCTCACTAAGCGAGAACTTCGCGGTTAAATACCGCTCTTCCTCATTATGTATTCAGACGTGATTCTAAAACTACGTTCTGGCCAGAACTGGTAAGTTGAAGTTAACAATCGATAGGAAAGGAAATTTAACTGCTAACAAAATTAACATAATCCTTACAAGCTCATTTTAAGTTGAAAGACTTTCCTATTACTCTCTTTTCACCAACGCTTTTCATGCCTGACTTTCAGGGTCGACGGAATAATATATAAGAACGAAAAAGCTTTTTCCTAAATCAGAAAATACATTTTGTATTCCTCCGAAGTAAAAGAATAAATTTGCAATACATTTTCTAACCATGATTGCGCAATTCCTGAAAATTGCGGTCAAAGCCTTCTTTCGTTATTGCATGAAGATGGTTCATCACATGGCTTTGAACGTCTGGAATATCCAAAACTGATTCAAGTCGAAGGCCCGGCCTTTATCATGAACATAGAATTAAGAGTCTGCCTAAGCAGTTTATGGGTGTACGCGACAAAAATCCTTTACCATAAATTTGCCTGAACATCTTTGTTTGCGTTACCTGGCGAACACCTTAACTTTTTGGATATTTTCTTCAGTACGAAGAGCCTAGGCTTACTACTTCAAACAGCCTCTTCAGTGGAATCCAAGCCATCCTGAAAATATTTAAACCGTTCATACTTACTTAAAAGATGAAGTTTCATCTCCGTAATCTTGTTGAATCATGTCGAGATTTGCTTTCACAGATTTACCATGGCGTGAAGCAGAATTTTAAATTTACATCTTCAGTTTACAGCTTTTATTACATCATTGCATATCAGACTAACAGAAAAGATTAACCGAAATTCGCAAAGATTATCTAAGCCACGTTCAAACATACTTAAACTAGTAATATGTTTTCCACATTTCGAAGTTTGCTCACTACGACGTGTGGGAAATTTAATTATGTCATTCACAGAATTTTATTTCCACACATTGTATAAAGGAAATCAAATACTGTTTGAATATAAATAAACTAGAACGCCCGGAAACCACTGGCGGTACATTTCTTAAGAGCCACCGCTAGCTCAATAAATAAAGGTGATTTAAGTAATAAAATGTTAATCTACATGTCAAAAATCTCTTTGTACACAACATTTTTGTGTAGTTTTCCACGTTTTAAGCTCGCCTTGCGAGGACCATCAATTATTTATTTAGGTCCGTTCTTTCACGAACTTTGAACAGGCAAATAAAAGTTGACCGTGTCCAAATGCAGGCTCAGGTAAAAAAATGCAACAGCTAAGCGTTTGCCTGAGACTTATGATGGTCATAGCAAAGGCAAGTTTTACAGGAAAATTGTCTACGTCTCAATTGAAACGGCAACCCTGTGGCCGTGGCAAACTTCACCTATGGCTAGTTACAGACGTAAGCAACCATAAACTATCGGCGACAAAACAGAGAAATATATGGGGGAAGTAACATCATGTCCTCGAAACGGCTGGCTCCGGGCTTGCGAAGCACACCGTTGGATTCGCGGTCCGTGGCACGCCATTTTGACCCATTCGCGTTTTTGGGATTAGCCGAGATATAATTAAAAAAATAATTTTCCCCATTTCCATTTTTCTTTGGGTTTCCCTATTAGAGGGATTTGGATACGGGCCAAATTTTTTTCTTTACGGAACGGCGCGAGTTGAAATCGAGACGCATATCCTCGGATTCCAAAAAATTCTCCGAATCCGTCGATACCGTTCTTATCTTAGTACGACTTTAATCGGCCGAGATATTAATTAAAAACTGCGTAAACGTTTATTTCCGCGCTCATTTTCTCCGAGTGGCAACAATAAACTATCGGCGACACACACTTTAGCCACTTATATATATAAAAGAAGTATATAGTACACTTACTTGTAAGGGTTAACTTTTTTTTTCTATATTTAAAAGTATATTTAGATATTTATAATATACTAAATAATTAAAAGGGTAGTTACAGATATTCAATTAAGAAAACTAAGGCTACTCAGAAAATATGTACGGATAGTTACCTTGTGCATTTCCAACTGCTAAGGCATTAGATATCCAGTCTTCTTTGTTTAATTCTTTAGCTTGCAGAGCGTTGAGGCACTCGCTTTCCGTCAATAACCGGATTTCTTTCAGCCAACAAGACACCGGATTTTCTTTCGTAGGACGTTTTGGAGTACTGAAAATTTTAAAAGGTGGAAAAGTATTTATCATTACCGAGTAAGTTGTGGCTTTAAAGAAGAAAAGTGCAATTAAACTGAACATTACGCAATCTCAGTATATGCAAGGGTATTTTATTTCTAATAATACCATATCTCTTGGTAAATTCCCGAACTTTTTTTGTTGTGACTACTTTGTTGAATACTGAGATAAAAAGACCTCAGGATCATACATATGTAATCCTTACGTATCATTCTACCAATTGTTATCAAAGTGTGGCCTTTAAAACCAGTTTTTTTTTTAACTTCTTGTTTATTTTATCTGCAATTTCGGTGATCGTAGCAAACCATGCTCGCATCAAATTTTATGTGAAATTTAGTAAATCTGCTATTGAAATTACATGTGTTTCGTACGGCTTTTGGCTGTGATATCGGAAATATTTTTTTAATGACTCTCGTGTTTACTTGTCAATCGAATTTAATTAATTAAAGATGACAGGTACAGGCAAAAGAAGGCCGATACCTGTGCATCCACCAATTCAAATCAGATATCGCCGAGCCTTGCTAACTGATAAGCTTCCGCCCCAGACGGAATTCCGAGGAAGAACATTCCGGGGCGGTCTGTGGGTGTCCCACCCCTTTTCATCTACCCCGAATCTCTCGAAATGATTTTGGCTTGTCGCGTATTTTGAGCACTCCCTTGCCTCACATATATTACATGCTTACAAACATCCATGTCTTCTCTGGGATTCGAACCCGGGTCCTACGGTAGGGCAGTTGCCTGAAAAGCAATTAAAGATGACAAGAGTTAACTGAGAGCAAGCATGAGCAAAATGGCTAAAAAAATTCGAAACCTCATCCAGACTGAGGAGACCGACCATATTTTTGGCACTATAGTATGTCGGGTTATTTCACTGGTCACCAACAACCATCGAAACCTAATCCAGGAAGCTCGTCACCTTACAATTCATTAATTCGCAGACAGTGACGAAAACTGACAACTGACGTTGTTTCTCAAACAGTTATGAAGTTTGCGAGACTTTTGAACAGAAAATTTGAACTTGCGCGTTGTTGTCAAGATGTTTGTTTTTTGCTCTTTTCCCACGCATCCCTAAACATCTGCAGTTTTAGTAAATAGTTCATAGCTATCATCTCGCCTTACTTACCCATTCTATGCACTTCACTGGGATTTTGCTTCATTCTTCAGACTGAAAATAAAATTGAAAAGACGACATTTTGGAGCTATGCTTGACATTCAATGACAACTGCAAACAGTCGTCGACAGCTTTAAAGAAAAGGCATGGAAAAAACGATGCTATCTCTGTATACATTTGTAAGACGTCTCTTCTAAAAGAAATGGCAGCTAAATTAGAACGAAAAAATCCATAGTTTAGGTGTTCAATGCGTTCGAGAACCCTAGCACTTCTATAGTTTTGAACATCATGTTACTGAGCCTAAATAACTAGTTTATCTATTCAAGATATGCTTTAAGATGATAATTATTAAAAGACATCTTTTCGACCTGAAAATATACAATTAATTGATTTTTTTTTTCATTTTAAATTCCCATAAAAAATCATCGTTTCTATATATTAAAACTAATTGCATTTGTTCATATGATGTCCTGAAATTATAATAATTACAGTTCCTTACTTAAAAGTAACGTAACTTTCAAAATTTCAGAATAAATTATAACATATCTTAATTTAGATTTAATATTTTATTTCAGTCTTATACGAATAATATACGATGGAGATACTTGAGCGAAAAAAGGTATTTTTCCGCTAAATTTTAAACTGTAGAAAATTTCTGAAATATGAAAAAAGGCTAGACGATGAAAAATTTAAAAATTCATCCTGAGTCTTCTTTTTTTATTATATCCGTATATATTATATATTGTTTGATGCCTTCTCCATGACATTTACCGCCTTCTAATGTTCAGATACAGGAAAATCTCCCTAAGACGACCACTCATAACTAAAATGTTTTGGTCTTCTGCGGAGGTGGCCACCTTTTAAGCAAATAATGTTCAAAGTTAATAATTTACGTTCTCAGACTTGCTGGTTACTTTTAGCGAACGTACAAGAGTTTTTCTTGCATGTAGCTGAGAACAAAAAATAAATATCATATCTGTCATTTAACATGCTATTTAATATAATTTAGAAATCAAAGTACTTACGAATAAGGAGAAAACGTAACGGTGGAATCATCTGGAGAAAACATTCTCCTTGCATGAAGTTCCAAAGACTTATTTTCTTCTTCCTCCATTGGACTATATACCTTCTCTCTTTGATAACAAGAAATTGATCTTTTGATTTTCACTGCTGGTTTGCTGGATGGCGTCGTTTTGGTTTCAGATGTCATCAATGAAGCAACTGAGGGTTTTATTTCTGAAGAACTAATATGCTTAGACTGTAGTTTTAAAGATGTATTCTCTTCTTCTTCCAGTGGACTCCATACTTCTTTTAGATAGCAAGATGCTGTTCGCTTGATTTTCAAGGTTGGTTCACTAGCAGATAAGGTCTTCGTTTCAGAAGTCACTGGCATGTCAGTCTGAGACCTCATCTCTGGAAGGCTTCCAGGTTTTTCGTCGCGGTTATTGTGTAATGAAAATAGGGTCTGGGTGACTGATTTTTCGTCAGGCTTCGAAGATTGAATAGTACTTACTTTGCATAATTTTGGTCTAGGCCTTTCATCAAATGAAACTTCGTCTTCCGAATCAGCATATGGAATATCGGTATTTGAAGCTCCAGGATGAAGACGATTTTCAAATTTTGGGCTCTCTACTATTCGTTTGTGACAGCTGGCTCTTTTCTGCAATGAATTAATATCCAATGCTAAGCAATTCTGAACGTCTGTAGATTGCCCACTAAATGGATTATTTGAACTCTGTGGTGGACTCAGAATGACGGGAAGGATTAATGACTGCAAAGGATTTTCGACGTTTGTTTCTGGACTCATATCTTCATAAGGCAATCGTCTGCGTACGGAATGCCTAATATCAAGAAGTCTATGAGGAGTTTGTCCACTTCTAGGCAAACTTTTGTAGATCCTTTCAACATCAAAACCTTCTTTAGGCGTACTTGTGTGTGGACCACTGTCAGTCATATTGCAGCAGAAATCTATAACAGGGGTTTCATTTAGGGGTGGAGAAGGGGCAACTCCTTTCTTCGATTCTTTCATTTGAGAAAAAACAGGAGCAATCACTTCTTTTGCTTGAGAAGGCGGAGGAGGAAGGCCTACTGTATGAGGAAGTGCGGCGAAAGTTTCCAAGGATTCTGGTGATGAATCAGAAGCAGATTCATAGATAGGTGTCGTCTCTTCAGCAGTGGCTTCAACTTTCAGTAGTCTGTTTCTGCCAGGTGTTGTCAATCTCTTGAACCAATTTGATGTCTTCTTTTTATCTGACCTATAACTCAAAGACATAAAAATTAGGCAAAATTTAATCTTCAATTACGTTAGTTTAATGGAGAAAATATCTATTAAAGAAGGAAACGAACATAATAATAAATATCATTATGGCGTATAATTTGCAACGAGTGAAACTTATTTAAACACGAAGCAAAAGTATCGTTAAATTTTTAATGCAATATTAATTAATAAAAGTCCAGAAGCATCAGTAATTACTATAGTAATTAATAACAGTAATTAATATAATTTAAGAAGCGGTCGTAAGTAATTAATATGCAGCAAGCAGTAATTGATATAAATCTACTGAACAGTGGATTACACACCTTTTGTTCCGTGTTCCACTGCTATTTGTTTGTTTGGGTTGAGGAGTCTTTTTCGTGCAGTTTGAAGGCGTGATCGTTGGTTGTGGATCCGGAGGTGGTTGCGGAGCAACGCGCCTAATTTTGGCTTTAGGATCTTGCAGTGACACAACAAGTTTCTCCTCTTGTCCTTCTCGTATGGGATTTGAAGTTGAAATAATGAATGTGACATCTGAATCGTTGTTTTCTTTCCATTTGTCTCCAAACTGGAAAGGAAATTTTTAATTTCAGTTTAGTATAATGTCACATATAGTAGTCATATTTAAAAGCCATTAAAAACTGAAATCCTAATTTAAAATTCTTTACTGAAAGCGATAAAATAATCGATGAAACATTTACATATAGTGCTCGTTTTTGGAAAATGTTGATATAATTATTTTTTTCAGGCAGTATAGAATTTAAAAACTCGAACAATAATATTTATAAAGTATGAAAATAAGTAAAGGAAAATGTTTGTAATCTGATCTTTTTATTCACATTTTAGGTCTACCCGTGAAACAGACTTTACCTGAAAGAAAAACAAAAAGGTCGGTTTTATGATCACAAATAATTAAATTGACCGTTATTCACTTAAAACAGAAATTTTTCGGGCAATAGAAGCCAAAATTTATTCAAGTCAAACAAAAACGAAAAATCAAGTAATGCCGCTAAAATGTAACATGGATTCAGAGCAAAAGGTAGCAGTGACAAACAATAGTTTTGCTATAAAGGGGAAAGTAATCCTATTTTTATTTCAAAAATATTGTGATTAGGGATTGTATTTGTGTTTTGTTTGCATTTTATTATGATACTGAAACAAAGCAGCAATCATTTGCTTTACTGTAGAAGATTCACCAAAGCCATAGAAGCGTCGGATTCAGAAATGCCGAGTAAAGACAACACTGGTGCCACCAAATACTATCGCCCTGTATTAACACTGGTGCCACCAAATACTATCGCCCTGTATTACCTTTAAAAAGAAATTAAATGATGAAGAACCTGCATGTGTGTATGTTCCTCGCACTGTGAAAAAATAACAGTACCTAGAACCATTAAATTTTGAACACTCGAACATGTGCACCTGAAAGCTTGAATTTTCAATTTAGAATTCTATATCTCATATTTTGCAAAACTTTTATGAATTTAGAATTCTATATTTCATATTTTGTAAAACTTTTATGAATTTAGAATTTTATATTTTATATTTTGTAAAACCTTTATGAATTTAGAATTCTATATTTCATATTTTGTAACACTTTTATGAATTTATAATTCTATATTTCATATTTTGTAAAACTTTTATGAATTTTTGATTAACAGACTCGGCGATTTGAAAGCGAGCAGTGGCAACACTGTTACGGAATAAAATACTTTTATCTCCAGCGCGAGAGACTGCCGGAAATCGTTATCGGAAAGATATGCTGTTGTTAAGTATTTTGTGATTTTGCTGCTGAATTAAAGTTTATGCGACGGGAGTGCGAAAAGCGTGATATCTAATAAATAAAGTTAATGGCACAAAACGTTCATAATAAAAAGACACACAAAAAAAAGTTTTGTACCGTTGATATGATAAACTGAGAAAAGATTGAAAAAGTAGAAAAACGTATGCCAACACTTGACATTGCATCGAGAATTCCAAACATACGCTGCTATGCTGCTGTTAAAATTTTGCAATTTGGCTTTGGAATAATATACGGCATAAGTGGGAAGAATGTGGTGCTTAACAGCAGAAGTGAATGCAACAGCAGACTGGTAGACGACTAGCTCTGAAAGAACGTAAGAAACCGTAACAAATCCTCTTGGGCGATCGTTAAAATCTGAACTCTTCCAGATTTTTATTTATTTATTTATTTTATTATTTGCTTCATACTTTGTAAAACTATCAGCTTGTTTGTAATGGAGAACCAGTTTCCTGCGTAAACCCCAAGGTGATCTGTGGTGACTGGCTGTTATGACAAAGCAGAAAAATTGTTTCAAAGAGTTGTACTTCCGAAATAAACGGATGTGTGATAGCAGCCTAACATTACGTCTTTGAAAAAAAGACTGTTTGTATTACAATTTACAAAGGATACAAAAAAAGATGATAAGGATACAAAAAGACTGTTTGTATCCTTATCATCGTTGTAATGCATTTCTTCGATCAGGAAGTTTAAAAATCCATACGACACCGTGCTCCAACTGACAAATTTAACTCCATGTCTTTGAAATATTTATATATAATATATATATATATTATATATTTAATTTACCTCCTTATCACCGTTGTGATGTGTTTCTCCGCCATTCCTCACAAAGACGTAGTTATTATTCTTGAAGCATGCATGCCATCCTGTGTCCAGCAGGGTATTTTGCCTCTTCCTTTGCGCAGTCCCGGTTGAGGGGGTCGGGTATCTGCTGTCCGGGGCGAGGGGCACTCTGATGCTATCGTTTTCGGTTGGGGATCGGCGACTGACGTTGACCGTCGGGTAATCCACCTCCTTATGCAAAGAACGGGCGAGGGAGTCATCACTGCAGGCAGACGAGAGAGGACAGCGACGACCCTTTTGTGTGGCCACTACCATGACGCAGTTATCCCAGTCGGGATCTTCTTCCGCTTCCCAGTAGGTAGCGTTGTTCAAAGGAGAAGTGCCCTTCAGGGAAGAGAAAATTATTTTTGAATGCATGAAAGAATATAAGTATGACTTAATATAAGAAACAGATCTAATAATACAGGGTAAGTCAAAAAGAATCCTCCTACTATAAAAGGTTATAGTTTTGGAGTCATTAAGTTATGTAGATGCAGGAAGATGAAAAACGGGCAGTACTCCCGCCAGGATTCGAATTCCGGACCTCCGAATTTCGCGTCGGGCGGGTGAGCACGTGACCACGTGAGCATGCGAAAAGGATGGAGAAAATACCGTATATAGTAAAAAATATAATTATTGTATATATTTGCATGCGATACATCAAACTGAATTTTAACTACCTAAGTTATATATTAAACGTCACAAATGTTCTTCATAAGACCTTTTTGTCAGGTGATAGGTAGTCCAGTACCATTCAGGATGTAATCCAAAACTGCAGCGTTCTTCACATGATGGGCAGACTTGTGATGTTAGAACTCTGGGATTTTTTTGGGTGGAGAGGGGACGGCGTAAAGGGGACATGTCAAAGATTGATAATTATATAATTATTTGTAACATGTTGATTCTTTTTGATTTACCCAATATTGTAATGAATAAAGATTTTTAAAAATACTTTAATATTAGAAGCGACTCATCATAAAATTTTGCCAACTGTAAGAAGTCAGTAAATGTTATTGCCGATAAATAGACTACTCACACAAATCCCGTTTAAAGTTTTCCGATATAGAAATAAATTGTATCATTTCGGTAATGTGGGCAATCGGAACATATATAAAATCACTTTAACATATGAATCAAAAATTTAAGTATTGCGACAATTTAAGAAATAAAAAGATACATCTGTTTCAAGCGCCTGAATATATGCAATACAGCATATATGTGTTTAAATATGAAGGTTGATTAGATTCAGATTTAATAAATGCATCATGCTTTAAGACAAGGAAACTGCACGATTAAAACTGCGCAAGATATGAGGAAAATAAAATAGTCTTTACATTTATAATTCTTTTACACGCATATACAGTGTCTCAAAAAGGTGATGGGACACTTGTGCTTTACAAAAGGAAACTGCAATAAAATAAATTTAAAAAAATAAAAATTTTTGTGGGTGTGTCATACTTAAAATTTAGTAACAATATTCATACATACATTTTCTCAAAAATATTAAAATATTTTAATAAAAATACAATTGTTAGAACGGAGCAGAAAATGGCTCACTAAGGATGGACACTACGTACTATGCACAAAAATCGTCTGAAGTAAGCAATAAAAATATCTTTTGGGTTTTATTTTACTCAAAGCAATTCCCAATAATTTATAAAAATCGTCTGCAGTATTTCTCTCCAGTTTGTTTTGGAATTTTTGTGTTTTTTAGCTCTATGCAGCATGATGCTAAACGAAAAGAAACTTTGCCTGGAATTCGAAAATTAGTTATTAATTGATATTGAAGTGGAAAATCTAAAGAAAAAACTACTGAAACAGTTAAATTCAGTCATTCAACAGTTTTCAATATCATTAAACGATATAAAAGAAAATATGATTCAGGATAAAAGACTGGCCGACCATCAAAGCTATCAATGGAATAAAGCGGAATTATCGTTCGAAATATTAAAACAAACAAAAATCCAAGAATGAGTGCTCCTAAGTTGCTGCTGATTTACAAGCATTATATGGAGTAATTGTTAATTTTGAGATATTAAGAGTAATTCGATCTACTGGATATCACGGTAGAGCAGCCGGAAAAAATTCTTCGTAAGTGAAAAGAATAGAAAACGCAGACTGGCTTCGCAAAATCCAACATAAATAAGAATTCTGATTACTGGAATGAAGTTATTTGATGATGAAGTAAATTAATATATTTGGGTTCTGACGGTAGAATCTTGGTGTGGAGGAAACCGAGGGAAGAATTCGCAAACAGAACTTGGTTGCCAACAGTAAAACATGGGGGAGGAGGTTAGGTATGGGGGATGTCGTCCGCTGGAGTGTAATCTTGTTTTATTGACAGTATAATGGATCAGTCAAGTATATTGACATTTTAAATCAAAATTTGAAATCTTCAGCGCGAAAATTGAACCTTCATAACGATTTAAAATTCTACAGAACAATGACCCAAGCACAGTGCTTTGAACGTTAGACTCTGGGCTATAACGTCCTGAAATAAAAAAACACCCCCACAATCTCCACAATTAATCCATAAGAATATTGGCAAGAAATTGGAATCAAGAATTCGCAAAACACACCATTTCTCAAAACAACAATTAAAATCGGTGCTCAGAAGAATGGGGTAAATCATTCTAGAATCACAAAAAAAATTAGTCGAATCCATCCTAAGAAGATTAAATCATGTTTTAAAAGTAAAAGGAAATCCAACAAAAATATTAAAACCTTTTAAAAAGTAAATTTTGGATAAATATTGATGAAAAATAAGTGTCCCATCACTTAAGTGAGCCATTTTCTGCTCCGTTCTAAAAACAATTTATTTTATTAATTAATATTTAAATATTTGAGAAAATGTATGTTTGTAATAATGTTACTAAATTTAAGTATGAAACACACCCACAAAAAATTTTACATGTTTTTTAAATTTATTTTATTGCAGTTTCCTTATGTAAAGCACAAGTGTCCCATCACTTTTTTGAGACACTGTAAATAACAAGCAAGTTTTAGTGTTACTTTGCAGCAGAAATAAAATATTGCTTAATAATGATGGATAAACTATATGGCACAATATTTTGGAGTCGTTCTAATTGGGATGTTATTATAATCTGTTATTTTAAAATAGACTTTTCATGGTCGAGCGATCCTCTCTTCATTTACGACTGTAACATGTGTCGTCGTATGTGCACAGAAGGGATTTGAGGACTTTGGCCAATCAAAGGATTCGACTTTTTTTTCTACAGAAGTTGTTGCCATGGTTATGAAGTACAGTTTGAGGAGGGAATGGTCTTCAAGTGCCTATTTTAAGAACAGACTACAGTATGAAAGAACCAATAAAACTTAAATATGATACTATCGCATGTTAACGTTAGATTAATGACCTCTAAGTAAGCATTTTAGGTGCAAGAAAATCATCTAGCTGATTTAAAAGCTGTTGAAGGAACATGCAGGGCCTCTGCTTGTCATCTAAGGGAAGTTAACTGGCGACGAGCGAATATTACAGTAGAATCAAAATTTCTTACCACGTTATAGGATAGCCAAAATTACGGAGACGAGTAACGCAATTAGAATGTACCAACATACAGTGGATGGACAAAAATATGGAAACACCTTGTGAAATGCATGTTTGAAAAGAAAGATTGATTTTAATGAAATAGGTAGGTGGCGCTGGCGTTTTTGACTACTGACTCCACCTATACAACTTCGTAAATGTGCTAAACAGTTCAGTTGTTGTCGGAGTACTGTTATGTGAGGTTGTCATTGCGTTATGTCAGAGTTAACAGACTTCGAACGTGGGCAAATGTTGGAGCACGTATGGTAGGTGCTTCCGTAAGCAAGGTAGCCGGTGTTTAGTGTTTCAAGAGGGTACTGTATCGAAATTTATTCCGCATATTTGAAAAGCGGAAAAATCATCTGCTAATCACAGCGCGGACGAAGTGTGTCCTGAGGATCTGAGACGATCATTAAGGGCAACTGTGGCGAAAAATAAGAAGACCACAGGCAAAATTACTGCTGAAATGAGTTGTGTAACGAACCCTGTGAGTACCAAAACAATTAGAAGAGAGCTTCATAAACAGGGAATTGCTGGCCGGCTGCAATGGAGAAGCCACTCTCAGTGGTGATGCTAATGCCCCGTAACAGGAAAAGGTGGTGTTTAAGTCATAAAGCCCTGGACTATAGGCAGTGGAAGCGAGTAATATGGTCTGACGAGTCTTCTTTCACATTGTTTCCCTTCTGGCCGAGTTTACGTCTGGAGACGCCATCTCAACCTATAATACAGACTGCTTGTTGCCAAGAGTGAAACATGGCGGGGGGTTCTGTTATGGTTGGGCAGGCCATATCGTGTTCTCTGCTAGTCCCATAATAACTGTGTCAGGGCCGTGACTGCCAAGACTTATGTGAACATTTTGGCCGATCAAGTTCACCCATGGTACAAACTTTGTTTCCCGATGTGATGGTGTCTTCAAGACAAAGCCCCTGTTCACCAGCTCACATTGTCCAGGACTTTTTTTCTGAACGAGGATGAGTTGTCCCATCTCCCCTGGCCAAAAGTCACCAGACTGAATATTATCGAACCTTTGTGGTCTACATTGGAAACGGAAAGTGCGTTCTCGTTATCCACCGCCGACATCGTTATTTGAACTTGCCACCGTTTTGCAGGAAGAATGGTATAATATTCCCTTGGCAAACATACAGGAACTGTATTTATCCATTCCGAGAAGACTGCAAGCTGTTTTGGATGCCAACGGGTTTCCTACACCATATTAAGCAAAGAAACTTGTTTTTTTAAAGGTGTTTCCATATTTTTGTCCAACCCCTGTATTTATTATTAGCGGTAAAAAAGGGAAAATACTATGCTATGATATAAACATTATCGACTCTCGATAGCCGATTGTAAAACGTTATGTAGGAGAAAGTTTCCTTACGATAAAGTCTATTTTTTGTTAAGGGAGTGATGGTAATATTCGATGGGCAGCTTCATCGCCAACATTTCGAATGACGATTCTACAAAACCAAAGTCTTAAGAAAAACCACAGGTACTGTAAACATTACAGGGCTTGTAGCGACAGAGATATAACTAAGAATTACATAAATTTTATAAAGTGATATCATCGAATACCATTAAACGTATTAAACTTGCTGGTCACCTTTACGGAATGAGTTCCCCTTTAAGGGTAAGGTTTTTAACTACAAACTAATGAGAAAAAGGTCAGAGGAAGTCTAAGTCTTCGAATGGTTGGTCTGTATTGATGTAGACTTTAACGTTAATTAAAAATTACTCATAAAAAATTTCTAGTCAAACGGAGGGCGGACTGGAAGAAGATTCTGAAAAATGAGCATGGCCTCTA